CCCCGCACTACCTCCCCGGGGCCCTTCTTCCTTCCCGGAGCCTCTGACCATCCATCCGACTGACCTGTCTCTCTGTAGGGGCCACCAGGGCCTCCAGGCCAGCCAGGGCCAGCTGGGATCTCAGCAATGGTGAGTGCCGTCCCCCCTCCTGTCCCTCTGTCCCAGGGGTATGGTCTTGGGCTCCTCTCACAGAGTGAGGAAGGGGGGCTCCCATCTCCCTCCGCCCAGGCCCTCAGCCTCTCCTGGCTCCAATGTTCTCCCCAGCTGGGCAGTGCGGAAGGCCTCCGGAGAGGGCCCTGCTGCAAGTGCAGACAGCACCAGCTCCCCTGTCGGGCCCCGGGTGCTGAGGGCCTAGGGCCCTGGTACATGGTGGGGTGTCTGCCTCTGGCTATGTGGGGTCTACCCTGCCCCTTCCCTGCCTTTTGCCATCTCTCTTTCTGTCCTCCAGGGCCCCAAAGGAGACAGAGGAGCCACCGGAGAAAGAGGCCTCTCAGGCATTCCAGGCCAACCTGGCTCACCCGGACACCCGGGCCCCCCGGTAAGACCTCTAAGCCCACGGCTCAGCGCCTGCCCTGGGGCATGAGCTCCTTGGCTTTGCCACATGCATTTAGTGCTGCAGATGTGGGCTCTCGGGGGAGGCAGAGGCAGTCAGCCTGGCAGGAGGGCAGGACAGAGTGGTGACTTCCCCACTCTTCACGGGGAAGAAAAGACCAGCTCTGATAACAGTCCTGGGCCAACCATATGTGAGCTCCCTGCCTCCGAGGTGGACCCCCGACCCCACCCCACCCCACCCCACGCCGGCCCTCCCGGACAGAGGTGGCGTGGGCCCTCTCCTGCCACAGCCCCTTCCCCAGGGGGCGTGAGGGCAGCCACCTTTGCAAATCTCAGGAGCCAGAAGCCTGTTGCTCTCTCGGTTTCAGCTTCTCAGAACCCACTCCTGGGTCTCAGGTGACGCTGAATACCAAGATCTACGCTATGTGGTCCACTGACCATGTGTCGGACCCCAGAGAGCTCAGAGCTCAGAGTGTATGTGCCGTTTCATCGATGCAGCAATCCTCTTGACGGGGCCTTGGCCGAGGAAACAGGGGCTGGGGAGGTGGAAGAGGTGCTCAGCAAGTGAGGAAGAGCTCTGACTAGACCCCCCACGCCCCCACCCCACTTCCCAGTCAACCTCATTCCTAGCCAACGTGTGTCCTAGCCACGGGGCAATACTCCGCTTTCAGAGGTCCCTGTGGGCCGGTCCATGCCGGTGTGTGTGTGTGTGATTGAGATCGCCAGTCTCAGGCCTGGCAGCTTCCTGGGAGAGCTGAGGCAGGTCCCGTGCTGAGTTCACCAGAGCCAACATCTCCCGGGAGCAGTAGCAAAGACAGGGTCCCCTGGCTGGCCCTGGGCTGGTGGCCTGGAGCGGGTGGAGGACTCCAGCTGGTGTGGGGGTGGAGGCTCAGCCCATCTGCCAGGAGTTCCAGTCTCACCCCTCCTACTCAATCTGATTCCTGCCAAGGACCCGGACAGCCCTCCAATCCCCACCCCTCCGAGCTGGCAGGCTCATGAGCCTCCCGAGCCCCAGGTGATGCTACCTTGTCGTGCTCACGGAATCCTCTTTGCCAGCAGCCCACCAGAAGGGGCCGCCTCCCCCGCCCTGCAGAGGGAGCGGGCTCAGGGTCACACTGGCCGAGGCCCAAGACCTCACAAGAGAATAGAGCCATCCCGCTCCTCCTCGCAGTTCATGAGGCCACCCAGCAAACACTACCTCCGCGCAGAGCCAGGGCTTGTGCAAGGTGCCCGGGTCTCACGCAAAGAGCCAGGCAGTGGCAGCCTGCCCCGCCCTCAGAGCGCTCACAGTCACGGGCGGCCAGGCTATCTGTGGTGGTGCTGGTACAGGCGGGGGTCCGAGGTGGGGCTAGAGCGGCCTGCGTAGTCTCCAGAGCCCGTGGCCAGAGCGTTGGAGGCTAAGGGCTGTGGCTGGCGAGTCCATGTCAGGCATGGAGCTGGCCAGGTGCAGAGGGGGAGGTGAGGCATGGGACCCCCCAGGTGGGCAGGCATTCCTCCTCACAGACCCCTGTTCTCTCCACCCCACAGGGCGAGCCTGGCTCAGATGGTGCAGCTGGAAAAGAGGTGTGTTGTGCCGCCCTTCTCTCCGCCCCCCCTTACCCCCACCCTGCTGCCGCCCGCTCTCTGCCTTGCTCGGGGCCCCTCTTCCTCCACTGAGCACACGCAGGGGGTCTCGGGACAGAGAGCAGCCTAGGGACCCTCCCTGCTCTGGGGACCAGAAGGCAAGGACGAGAAGAAGACTTGTTTTGTTGGTCAAGCGAGACCATCATCATGAGAAGCTCCACACAAGCATTTCCTGGGCGCCAGTCCTGACCAGATCCCCCCAGCTTGCCACAGACCTGCCCTCTCATTCTGACTTCTCGCCCTCCCCCGTCTGTGACCAGGAATCCAGCCAACAGGACCAAACAAGGCCAGGCCCCCGGGGACGTCCAGCTCCTCTGTTGGAGAGAGGCCGTTGTCTTTTTCTGCCCCGCTGGACACTCACTACCTGGGGCCCTGAGGCTGTGAAGGTTGACCCAGGGATGCTGCCTGAACTTGACCCCTGACCTCTGCTTTCCTCTAGGGACCCCCTGGAAAACAAGGGCTCTACGGGCTTCCGGGTCCCAAGGTGAGTGGGCATTGCCTGAGTTTGAGAGGAGGCAGAAATGAGCCGTTTTAACCCAGCTCCTGGTTGTGACTTTATAGCCCAGGGGAGGAGGGGACACAGGGAGGCCCATGGGCAGGACTTGGCACGAAAGCTTGTCTCTGCAAACTTCTCACGGGATGCTCTTCCAGGGCTTCTAGCCCTGGTTAGGGGAATGGAAATCTCTAGTTCAGTCACTTGTGGGTAAATTGACCCATTCATTCATCTCCTGAGTATCGCTTGCTCTTGCTTACACCCCAGGCCCTCCACCCTGGCCTTGGAGAAACAGTAGGCAGGCACTCACCACTGTCCAGTCCCAGGGACACTAGAATCTGTCCCGTTTGAAAGACAGGCCTTGACAGGCTGCGGAGTGGGCAGGGAGGAGTTCCCCGCTTGGCTTGGGAGCAGGGAGGGGCTGTAAGAAAGAGGAGGGGCTTTAAGCTGGGTAGGAGTCGTCACTGGTCTAGCAGTAGGGGTGGGGGGGCAGGGGGGGATGGAGCCCAGGCGAGGGAACCGCTTGTATGAGGTCATGGCAGAGTCTAGGAATGATGGCCAGTGAGGTTCTGTAGAGGCTAAGGACAGGGAGATGAGGCTGGAGAAGGCCTGGTCAAGGCCACATTAGGAAGGCTCTTGAACCTCTGAGCAAGAGATTCGGCCTTTCTCCTGAGGGCACGTGGGAGGGAGCCATCAGAGCTTCTGAGCAAGGGCTAACACCTCAAGAACCGTCTTACAGAAGGATCGCCGCCCCTTCGGGGTAAATGGCAGGAGGGCAGTGGGCGTTGCGGCCCCTCGGGGTGCTGTGGTCCAGGCAGAGGGAGCTGCTGTGGGTCCCCTGTGGGATGGCTGGGCCTTCACGGTGCAGACCTGATAAGACTCGTCCACACTGAGCTGTAACCCCATGTCCTTCTAGGGTGATCCGGGGCCCTCGGGACAGAAGGGCCAGGCAGGAGAGAAGGGGAGAGCTGGCATGCCCGGAGGACCTGGCAAGAGTGGCTCCATGGGCCCTGTTGGGCCACCAGGCCCTGCTGGAGAGAGAGGCCACCCTGGGTCCCCAGGGCCCACAGGGAGCCCTGGAATGCCCGGTGTGCCTGGCTCCATGGTAAGGGGGCAGGCTGGCAGCCATTGGCACAGTCCACAGATGATCCTGTGGGTGGGCCATGGGTCAGTCCCTGCTGACATTTGTGGGGAAAGAGTATGCTCCCCATAATGGTGGCTCTTAATTGTGTGAGGGAGCAGCGTGTGGGGGTGAGGTGGGGTAGGGTGGAGGGCTGTGGGAGCCTCCCCCAGGAAGATGCACTTGTGTAAAGATCTTTGGGATCATTTCAGTGGGGGGTGCGGGGGGGGGGGCGAGGGGTGTTAGTGCCTTGGGTCAAGGCCCTTTGGGAGTCCCCTGCCCACCCTTCTCTCCCCGTGCACGTCGGATCCCAGGTGGCAAGCACAGGCTTGGAAAGGTAACCCAGCCAGGTTCTCTTCTTTCTGCAGGGAGACACGGTGAATTATGACGAAATCAAGAGGTTCATCAGACAAGAGATCATTAAAATGTTTGACGGTAATGGGCAGCTGGCTAAGTGGCAGGGGGTGCCACTTGCCCTTCCCAACGGCTTCCCCACCCTACCTGGACCTCCGTTTCCTTAACACTCAAGGTCACCCCACAAAACGAACACCTAGAGCCCTGGGGTGAGCGGGCACATGCTCACATAGACTTCAGACCTTCTTCGTCCCTGCTCTGTCCAGAGACACAGCGAGCAGAGGGGACAGACACCTAAATTGCTCACAGGAGGCAGCATGAAGTGAGACGACATAGAGGCAGGATGGCTGGTGGCTTCTCTGTGTTCTCCTTCCACGGCCACGGGACTGGCGACACAGCCCTGGGGGACCACTGCTCTGTACAGAAGGGCGACGGCCAGGGCACCAGCCTTCCCCATGAGGCCAGGGGGGAAGCGAGGGAGGGTGCTGAGCGGTGCCGCAATCAGACCCCAGCGCCAGAGAGCATGTTGAGGCGAGGACGTGGAGCCCCAGACCCCATGCCCCAGGGGCCCTCTGCAGGAAGGCTGCCTTGGGCTCCAGGCTGGTGTCCCTGGGGACCCCCTGCCACCTGCCCTTGCCGTCTCTTACAGAGAGGATGGCTTACTACACCTCCCGGATGCAGTTCCCTGTGGAGATGGCAGCGGCTCCCGGACGACCAGGACCCCCAGGGAAGGACGGGGTCCCTGGCCGGCCCGGTGCCCCGGGGTCACCCGGGCTCCCCGGTCAGATAGGCAGAGAAGGACGGCAAGGCTTGCCTGGAATGAGAGGTACCGCTGCCCTCCGGCCAACTACAGGGTGCACGGAGCTCTGGTGTGAATATGGTCTTGATGTGTGCTTTGTTTCCCTGCCCCGGAATAGAACTGATTTTTGTTTCCTGTGTGGCAGGATTGCCTGGTACCAAAGGTGAGAAGGGAGACATTGGTGTGGGCATCGCAGGAGAAAGTGGTCTCCCAGGTCCCCCAGGTAGGCAAGAAATCTTGAGCGGCAAGAGTCCCCCTCCCGCCCTCCCCCAATGTTCTGTCTACAGTGTGGTCGTGTACACAACACGTTAGAGCAACACCGCTGTGGGCCAGGCACTCTGCTGGGACCCGGGGGAGGGAAAGGCAAGCTGAGAAGGCCCGCTCCCTGCCCCCAGGTCCTAAACTGTGTTAGCACGACACCATGGCCGAAAGCGGGGCAGGATGGGGGCCCGGAAATGCAAGTTCGAGTCCTGCTTGGTCTCTCCCGGGCTGGGTCACCTTGAGGAGGTCACTGAGCCCCTCAGAACGACTCTCTGGGGTGCGAGCTTGCTCGGTTGGGTGGCTAGAAAGAGGATGGCCGCGGAAAGCCCACCAGATGTGTGACTTGTCTGAGCCTGTCCCTCCTCATCGGCAGCAGGAGACGGCGATTTCCTTCCTCAGGGGTTGTGGTGGAGATTAGGGCCGATGCTTACAGAGCACTGAGCCCACTACCTGGCCGGTGGAAGTCCTCACTGAGAGTAGCTAGTGGTGAGGTTGTGGTTTACTGAATCCACGAGCAAGAGGCTTGGCAGGGGTTTACCGGAGGGCACGCTGTAACCTGGGAAACCGTCACCGCTTGCACAGCACTCTGGATTCTGACCGCCGGGGCTTCTGATTTGTGTCTCCTGCTTTGTTTTTTCTGACATTTCCCTCCGTAGGGCCCCAAGGCCCTCCAGGCTACGGCAAGATGGGGGCAACTGGGCCAATGGGCCAGCAAGGCATTCCCGGCATCCCCGGCCCCCCAGGCCCCACAGGCCAGCCGGGCAAGACTGGCCACTGCAACCCCTCTGACTGCTTTGGGGCTATGCCGATGGAGCAGCAGTACCCCCCCATGAAGAGCATGAAGGGGCCTTTTGGCTGAGACCACCCGCGCAGTGTGAGCTGAAGGGCTCCATTGAAAACAAAGGGACAAAGCTTCTGGGACTCTGGGATGGGTTGTGAATGTTTTTATTTTTTAATTGCTGTTAATATTTTTTTTAACAATAAAGAGCCCAAAACAACCCTGGATCCGCAGCCCCACGTCCGGTGGGGTTTCTCTGGTGCTGCAGCTCATCTCCCTGGCTTCCTTCTCTGCTGTGTCATTTGGCCCCAGGGTCCAGCAGGGCATCCCCCCATCGGCGGGGCTCCGCCAGCGTGCGGTGGGGTGCTGCTCAGATGCGTCGGTTCATCCTCCAGTCCTAGGGTCCTGGTGTCTTGTCTGTCACAGCCCACTTCTCTCGAGTTAAAGAAGGGGCACCCCTCACCCCCCCCACCTACTCCCGCTACTAATGCAAAGGAGCCAAAGGAAGGTTTGAGGACCCCACTTCCAGCTCAAGAAGACCCTTCCTATTTGTGTCCCTACAGAAGCCCTTGTTAGGCACCCCGCCTATCCTCTGGACTTCTTACGGGTATGACCCAGAGCCAAGCCAGGTTGCACGTGGGGGAATTTCCACCCAGGGCCGAGGTGGGCTCCTCTGCCTGGACGCTCCTCCAAGCACACGGTCTCTTCCTGATGCTCCAGTAATTCTTTGACTGGAGAGGCGGTGCACATAGGGGGGGAGAGGCCCCAGCTGCTGGCGGAGGCAACCAGGGGATACTTCTCCGGGAAATGAGCTGGAACCTCCTACCTGTACCAACCCAGGGCCTTGTTGTCAGCGCTCCAGAGGTGCTCCAGGCGTGGCTTTCTGGACTGACTGCAAATGGTGCCCAGGGTTATTTGTTGTTATTCGAACTTGGGTATTAGTGGTGGGGTGAGGGGCGCTTTCCCAATCTCTCTTACCCCAGGCCTTCAGAAACCAGTCGGGGGACCTCAGAAGAAAGGGGCTCAGTTATGATGGGATCTAAGCGCCTGGCTCTCCAAGGTCCCCGGGAGTGTGGCATCTCCCTGCTGTCTCCTCCATCTGTCCAAAGCCCGGGCAGACAAAGCAACAAGGTGGCAAATGGAACGGGACAGCAGCCTTCCGTCGGCGGCACTTCCTTCTCTGCTTCCCTCGCTCCTCTCCTGATGAGCCGGGAGACAGCACCGTGCAGCCAGAAGGGCTTCCAAAGAGACTTTCCTTTTTTCCCCCTACTGGCCCTGGCTTTCTGGAAGATTTATTGGAGTTGGATACACTTCAAAGGGATCACAGAGCAGGCTCAGAAATGCACCCAAGTCTCATCTACTTATCCAAGCCGCCTGAAGCCTTCAAACCAGCTGTCAAACCTCTCTAGAGATGGCTTGTCCCACACGTTTCTGAAAACTCCCTGTTCCGGTTGGGTCTCGAATACCATCGGCCCGGCTTCTTAGAACCTTTGCCCTCTTTATTTCCCTGCCAGGAGCGAGGTGTGTCCTTGGCAGAGGCGTGGAATCAGGCCGGCTCCCGAGCACACCAGAATGTCTGGCGAGCTGATTTTAGTTCGCCAAAGAGGCACTCTGCAGTCCATCCCTCACTGGCAATTCTCGGTTGACCCTGGTCCTCACATAAAACATTAAAAGGCAAAAGCATCATCTTTGCATTGAAGCAGCAGCCAGGCTTTGGATGGTGGACGAGGACAGATGTTAGAGCACTCCCATTGGAGGCCAGCTTCTACTTCCAACCTGGGCTGCCCGTGCTGGTGCTGCGTGCCGCCCCAGGATGGGCCTCGTGATGAGGAGGACGCTGGCTGGCGGGAGTAGAAAGGAAGAGAAGCAGGGACCAGCTGTTGCGTGGATCAGGCTGGCTCTGAAGGCCAGAGGGAGCATCGCTCAGCGGAAACATCCCACCCAGCCTCGCTGAGGACCACCAGCGAATCAATCCTTCCAGAGTAAAAGATGCTTCCCCATTCCTCTTCCTGAGTCAATTCCATGCTGCTCTTAAGGGATTCTACGGCAGGCTAGGTTTAGGCTTTGATGATTTGAGTAGTTGTCTCCCTGGAGTTTGAAATTGCTGTATTTTCTTGGACCATGAAGAACCAGATGGAGAGCTGCATTTTATAGTCTTTTCTGTTGCCATGGTCAGCAAAAAACCCAAAAAATCCATGGTTCTTGCTCATAAGTTGGGGAGCTGGGGGAGCTGAGGAGCAAGGCAGGAGGAGTGACTGCTTCTAATCCTTTGTGTCTGTCACCCTTGGCGGCCCCCACCCGTCTCCTCTGCTATTCCTCTGGCTTCGCTTCTGAGCCTCTCCCAGGCCTTTAGGGCAACACACAGATCATTCCATGAGCAGTGTCTGACTTGGCGAGTGCATTTCCTCTTTCTAGTTCATGCCAGGGCCTGTGGGGAGGCTCTGGGGATTTCGAGACACACTAGATGGAGGTGGTCCTTGCCCCGACAGTACCGACAAGAGAGGACGGTTACTCAGGCTGCTGCTGTTGATTGGTGCCGTCCAATTGGCTCTGACTCACAGGGACCCCATGGGCCACGGCATAAAACACTGCTTGGTTCTGTGCCATCCTCACAATTGTTCTTACGTGGGAAACCCATTGTTGCCGCCGCCATGTGGTCAATCCATCTGGCGGAGGGCCATCCTCTCCTTCGCTGCCCTGCTACTTTTCCAGACATGGGTCTGGAAACTCCAGGGCCTGGTTGCTCCTGAGAGCGTGGTCAAAGTACATTTAACAGGTGACTGCAATCAAATGGGATGGCACGGTACCAGGTACCAGGGGAGCACACCTCAGATGGATGTAGGCAGAGGGCAGAGGGTATGCCAAGGTCCAGAGATGGGCTGGAGACAGCCCAGTGTGTGTGGTTGGGATTGGGAACCTGGGCAAGGGAGACATGGTGCCAACCCACTGCTGGGTCCTCCACATAAATGTGCTAAGATGGAGGGAAAAGGCTGCAGCCTATTTGTGCTGCAGAGAAAACTCCCAAATTAGACGCCTTCTGGAATTGAAATCTCCTTTGTCATAATATTTCCCCTTGTCATCAGAACCCAGCGGAAGCGATTCAGACTCTTGCATCACGTGTGGTGTGTTACCCTCGTTACCAGGCCAGCTCTTTTGTTGTTGTCTTGCTCTCCGTAATGACTGCTGAGGGGAATGGCTAAGGGACGCTCCCTCTGGTCTCACAACGGAGGGGGAGTGTGGCCACGCCGCCAAGCCTGTTGTTCTCAGTGTTCTTTGGAAAGCTGCATCTCACCCTCTGCTCCACAACGTCCAACTGGAATTTAAATTTGGGAATTGGATCTCATTGGAATCAGAGAGCATTAATTCCATAATAAATAGGTGGGTGTTGGTATTCCTTCTCAGTAAGTAACACTGGCGCTTGGAGCTGCGCCAGCAGGCCGTGGGGAGGATGGGTCTCCGGGGAGGCAATCTTTTCCAGTGGATGGGCCTTCCATTACCAAGCTCTGCCTCACCTCTAATGGGTTGACCGTGGGGCTCTCAGGAGCTGGGGGAAAGTGCTCTAAAAAAAATGAAAGGCTGGAATCCAAGTTTTGCCCTTTGGCTAAAGCTGAAATAATAACAGGAACTTCCCCACCCACCTCTAATCTACCGCAGGTAGTTGAGACTTTGGAACCGAGCTGATTGTTTTTCAGTTTTTAGGAGATCTTTCTCTCCCCCGTCCAAAATAAGCAGAGCCTGGACTTGCTTCGTCTGTGTGACCGCATTGGCTTTGGCTGGTCTCCGACTGCCTGAGAGATCACTCGAATACTTCCACCCCAAACAGAAAGTTCTCCCAAGAAGCTTTTGATAAACAGAGGGAGTTGAGGGGTGAGGGCTGGGACATGCAGATTAGTGTTAGTGTTAGAGGTTTCATCCAGTCCAGCCCAACTATCTAACATCGGTGCCTATAACAAAGCCTGGCAAGTTATGGCAACACAGTAAGTACATATATCTGTGGAATAATATATACATGTCACATGACCCAACATTTATAAGCCAGGTGTCATTAGTCTCTTTCCTCCCAAATAGTCCCTTTCTGTCTAAATATCAGGATAGGCAGGAAATTTGCAATTGAGCTCTGCCAATATTTTGGGGGCTGGTCTTGGTCCAGAAGGCTATGAAAGTAACGAAGGTATGTCATATCAACTACATATGCTGACTAGTCAGAGGGTTTGGTTGTTGTTAGGGGCCGTGGAGTCCGTCTACGCATACCAGTGAAACACTGCCCGCTCCTGCCTCGTCCTCACAACTGTTCTTGCGCCCATTCTGGCAGCCACGGTGTCAATCCGGCGGAGGCCTTTCCTCTTTTATGGCCACAGCAGGGAAGATGAAGTCTTGTCATCCTTGCTGCAAGGAGCACTCGGGCCGCACTTCTTCCAGACAGACCAGTTTGCTCTTTTGCTACCTTCGATAGTCTTTGTAGCACCCCAATTCAAATGCATTAACTCTTTTTTGGTCTTCCTTATTCAAAGTCCAACTTTCACATTCATATGATGCCATGGAGAATACCAGGAGTTGGGTCAGGCCCACCTTAGGCCTCAAAGTAACATCCTTGCTTTTCAATATTCCAAAGAGGAATTGTACAGCACGTTTACCTAATGCCATGTGTCTTTCGAACTCTTTACTGCTGCTTCCATGAGCATTGATTGTGGATCCAAGCAAGGCGAAATCCTTGATGTCAACCTTTTCTCCTTGTATCATGATGTAACCTATTGGCCCAATTGTGAGGATTTTGATATCCTTTACAATTAGTCATAATCCATACTGAAGGGTATGGACATGGTTTAAATGATGATTTATGTGTTAGGCCGGGTTGACTACAGAAACAAATCCAGAGACACTAATTTATGTGCAAGAAAGAGCTTTATACCAAAGAGTAATTGTATATCAAGAACACTCCCCAGCCCAGTCCAGATCAAGCCCTTAAGTTTGATATTAGCCCATATGTCTGATACTAGTCCATACATTCTTCTTAAGATACATGCAGCACATGCCATGATGCCAAATGCAGGAAGATCACAGGCCGGTGGGTGAAAAGTCTTATGGATCTAATGTCTGTGGAAGCCTTTCAGCGCTGGCATGGGTCTCCACATGGCTTCTCCAGCTCTGAGGATGGCTCCTCAACAGGAAAGTGACGCAGAGAGGGAGTGGCTCACTTCCAGGTTGAGAAAGTTCCTCAGGTTTTGAC